GTCACTTGCTTCCGGTAATAAAGTGATGCTGGATCTAATTAAAGGATCATTTACAAATCCTGCAGCAGAGGTTCAAGAAGTAATTTGGAGACAGTGTTGAAGATATCGACTGGGTTCATAATCTATTTGCTGCGATTTCAGAATCTTTACCTATTCATTTACAAGAGGAACTTGCGGAATTAAAAGCAGACAGAACATTGAAATTACAACTCTTCGAAGTGCCTGTGGATACATTTTAATTGGCAATAAGGATTGAATACCTGCTATCTCCGAGATGGCAGTTAATATGTTATTGCCATTTTCAACTACGTATTTGTGTGAACTGGGCTTCTCGACGTTGACTGAAATTAAAACATCAAAGAGAGAGAGACTCAGATCTGTTGATGAAGAAATGAGACTAGCATTGTCAACGATTACACCATGGATCAGCTGTTTGTGTTGCAGCTAAGTAAATGCAAATAACTAAATGCTTACTGGAAAAATTAAATAAAAATAAACAAACACCTTTCTCTATTCCAGCACACTTTTAATGCGTTGAAAAACATTTTCGATCGTTTTAATCGATCATCATCAGTTCAAAATTCGAACTATATAACGAACAAAGTATTCGAAAAAATACAAAAAATTTCACATTGCTTATTTACAACTTAACGCTAAAGCACATGCGCATACTTCTAAAACGTGTAGATTAAACCTAAGTAATTAAAAATAACAACATTATATATCAATTAAACAACGCATTAAAAGTGTGCTGGACTAGAGAAAGGTGTTTGTTTATTTTTATTGTAAATGCAAATATCACATTGAAAAGATATGAGTAAAATTATTTATTTTAATAGTAGTAGATAAGTGTATTTTCTACACTATATGCTCTACAGCGAATTAAAGTTCATAAATTTTAATAAACACATGAATTGATGTCTATTTAATAAAATAATAATAATAATAGGTTAGTGGCATAATGTAATTCTATTAATAGTATAATTAATATATACATTTTTAAGGGGAATAAAATTTTGGTGTGCTGTGTTGAGTCGTGTTGAGTCATAGGTGTGCCGCGAGTAGAAAAAGGTTGAGAAACACTGATCTAAGCAAATAATTTTTTAATGTTTATGATATTCTCTTCCAAATAAGAGTTCACTTCTCAAAGTAAAATGTAGGATGATTATGCTTATGTTATATTCTTTGTTTCTTTTACATGATTAGATTTTTCCTAGTTGTATTTCTGAAGTAATGCAAATGCTTTATGCTTTAAATTAAAGATTTTCCTTACTTTATAGTATTTATATATATATATATAGTTAATGTATATACACTTTTTCACTTTGTTCTTTATATGTGGTACAAATGAGTTAAAGATTCTTAATTGCTGTAAGTGTCTTGTTCTTTTTAAACTCAATTGTAAATCTATTTTGAAATTTTGGATAAACATAGTCTGTTGAATTTGTTATTTTTGTGTTTTGTTTGGCTTAGAAAATCATGTCATTTGGCAATGTTATGTTTAAAGGAAAAGACTAGTTTTTTTTATATGGTTCTAATTACTTCTAATAACGAAAAAACATACAAACTTAAATATTTAGTTATTACATAATAGTTTATTTAAATCATGCTTGCTTTTTATTTCTTGTTATTGTTAGCTAAATATATGACCATTTTCTGTGTGCTAAAATGTAAAGCTAATTATCATACTAATGTTATATAAATCATTCTCTTCATATTTAATTAATGTAGCTTTATAATGTGAATTGTTCTTGTTCATTATAAAAAATCCTGACAATCTAACAAGGACAGTTTATTTTTATAGAAAAATAGGTAATTTTGTAGTATAAATGCAAAATATTTGGAAATAATTTGCTTACAAAAGTAATCTTGAAATGGACTAAAATCTGTACTGAATGCTATTTTCAGAGTGAAGAGAAGTATAACATATGAATATAAATAAGAATCTTATGTTTTCTTTATTTAAATATGAATTTATTGCCTTTAGATTATTAGTTAAAATTTTAATTCTTAACTTCAAAAAGAAGGAAAGAATTTCTAACTTTAAAAGAAGGAAAAAATATGATCATGTTCTACTTAGTAAAATGGCAAAACTTTTGTTCAATTTATAACTTCTAGTTTATAACAATATAGTTTAATTTATATCTTGAATTATTATTTTATTATCTTTCTTTTGCACAAGTTCAGAGTTTTTCTGTTATAAAGAATATATAAACTGAGAAGAGTTTTTTTACTCTTCTCAGTTTATATATATAAATATATTTTAGTGGTAAAAGATTTATTTTCAACTAATCATCTTGAAAGTGACCTAGAAGAAGAACAGATAGACTTTATATCAAATAGAGGATGCCAAGATCAAATATTTACATTAAGGCAATTGACAGAGAAAGCATGAGAATATAACAAGAAACTATACTTGGGATTTGTTCACCTGCAGAAGACTTTTTTTTTTGGCAGAGTGCCTAGAGGATTACTTTTTGAAGTTTTTAAGAAATATGGCATCAAGAATACTCTACTTGGGAATTCAAACCTTCTTTAGGAACTGCAAATAAGCTGTAAAGATAGAAGGACAAAAGGTGACTTGTTCCAAGTAAATCTAGGGTTGAGGCAAGGATGTACATTGTCCCCTTTATTATTTATAATTTTCATGGATAATTTAAGAAAAGAATCAAAACTATTGACAAACTTTAGTTTGGGAAATATAAAAATTGATTTTTTATTCTATCTGGATGACATTGTCTTACTAAACAATAAACTGAGAATCTCCAGCAATTTTTAAATGATTAAGAGCAGGGGTGGCCAACCTTTTCAGAAGGCAGGCCAAATTTCAGAAATAATATTTTCTGCCTGTCCACACACCTATTTTTTTTTATTTTATTTTTTCTTGTTAATTAAAGTAAACAAGCAAGCATGCTACAGCTTCAACCACATCGTTGCTTCCCAGTAGGTCAAACACTTGCCTGGTTTAATGTAAAAAAACACAAAAAATAGGTATATTTATTTTTTTCAAGAAAATAAAACATAACCGAGATTCAAACATATTTATTAGACAATTTAAAAATATTTAAAAGTGAGACATCTGACTTTGTTTTACAGAACTAAGTGCATCAAAATTGATCTCCACTGATGACATGCAAACAGTTTTCCAANGAAGACTATTGTATCGTTAAAAATTATTTTTTTATTTTGTACAAACAAAATAAATATATTGAAAAATATAAAAACAATAAAAAATTATACTTCAGAAGTAAATTTAGTATCAAAAACGTAAAATATTTGAGTAGCCCAAGACATTGCCAAAGATTGCAGCGCCACAGCACTGGCGAAAATTAACATTTGCCAACTGGAATTCTTTCGGATGACTGACTTTCGGATAATCGACACTCTACTGTATTAGACAAAAAAAGCCCAAACACAAAAAAACTCCACGTGGACAAACAAAAAAGTTGAGAACTGTTGTTCCGTAATATTATTATTAAGTCACTCAAAATATATTTTGATAAAAAGTGTTCTACTAATTTAAACCGATATATATTTATATTGATATGTGATATATAAGTTTTTCTCTAATAGAAATGTAAACATTTTTATTAATTCACTGTCAAAAAAAATCTGAAAATTACATATTTTTTAAAATATTTTCTTTATGCTAACTTATTAGCAAAATGAGTATTTTCCATTTAAAAATAGATCTTAATTGAATATTTATCAATTCCCAAAAAAATCTTACACATTTGTGCTTATTTTCTTTCAATGTAAACTTGTATTCATTATGAAAAATTATAATTTTTTTCCTACCATTATTATGGAGATTAATATTAATAAAGAATTATTTTGATTTGTGTAATATAACACTTTTTTAATCTGTAAAAAATGTTATATTTATACACTGAAGTTATAATGTTATATTTCAATACAGTGGATGATTGGTTAACGAACATAATCCATTCCAAGACCATGTTCGCTATCCGAATTGTTCATAAACCGATTATCGATTTACCATAGATTTTTGTGGGAATTTCATTAATTCATTCTGGGAACCCTAAAGAATAAATAAATTATATACTTTCTTACTATGTTTATTTACATATAATAACAAACTAAAAGCCTCCATTTTTTCATGGATGGCACATCTGTGTTTCTCAAATGCGATTTTCGTTACTCCTTTATCTGCTTAAGTCTTTTTGATTATATCTTTCTTCGCTAAGACTGTATCTACTATGGACCCGTTGAAGTCATCTGCCTACAATATCAGACATCTTCCCACTCTCTACCTTGGCTATTATCTCTTGCTTAGTTTCTATAGTGAACATAATTCTTGACATTCCACTCTTTTTAAGCCCCATAATATTATCAGTTTTTTAAATAAAAAGTTCAGTAATGCACTTACAAAAATTCTGAGAACAGAAATTAACTAGTGCAAAAGAGGTTATTAAACAACTGTGAAAGTCTCGTTCCATAAATCATGTATAGATGCCATTAAAATATAGTTTTACAAATCTTAAATGCAGCATCACTTCTTCTTGTGTTTGTTCTGTCAGGTGTTCATTATCCAAACATGTGTTTGTTGTCCAAACATAAAAATCTTTTGTAAAAGCGTTCGTTGTCTGATTTGTTCACAGTCCAAACTGTTCAATAACCGATCACCCACAGTACTTAAATATTCATTTATGCAATGAAATATGATATCATACTTCTTCATGATTTAATTCTACACTATTTGGAAAGACTATGAACTATTAGAAAATAATGTTTAGTAATGAAAAGTTTTATGACAATGTTTTTTAAAGCAAAGTAGTTATTTTTTAGATTTTAATTCACATTGAAATGAAAAGATTATATTATAATCATTACTGAATACTCATTTTGTCAAAATTAATTATAAAGTTTACATATTTATTGAATATATAACAGTAAAGAATTTTACAATATTTTAAAATACAGTATTATATTAAATTCATAAAAATTTAAAATAATCATCAAGTGCTAAAATTACTTACAGTCAAAAGCATGCATTTGATTTCCTTCATAGCTCCCATGCATCCCAAAAATGATATGACAGTAACAATAACACCAGTGGCAATTAAAATGCTGGCAGAACTTGTATACAAGTCACTACCTAAAAGACGTTCCATAAACGCTTTGTCTGCTAAGGTCCATACTCCAATGGAAAAAACAACAATTCCTCCAATCTTCAATGATAAACAAATATATTAATAAACTAATTTTATTATTATTTTGAAATTCATTAAAAACTATATCTAGAATATTAGAATCATACATTTAAATATTTTAATTTAAAAAATGATAATGTATTATTATACAATCATCTTTATTCTAAAGATATTAATACAGTGTATAAAATGTATTGTTTTTATCAATTTTTTGAAATATATCTGCTATGGTGGTTATTTCTGTACAATTAACCCATAAAGTTTCATCAATTTTGAGGAAATATTTTTGAAAAATTGATTTTTTAAAAGGAATATAAAGGATTATCCATTTTTGAAAAAGTTTGTGATCATATTCATAAAGTGAAATTTGAACTGTGCTTTTCAGAATTTTCAATAACTCATGGTAGGCATTCAGACATTAAAAATCAATTGAAATGTGCAAAAAATAAGGCAAGCCTAGTAAAAGCAGAAGAAACTTTCTCAAATATATTTGTCATATTTTAAAGATACTGATTTAAGTGACAAAGAATTTTTAATAACAGCTAAAGAAGCAACTTTTGCATTTCATGTTGCTGTTCACAATCTCAGCTTTGAAGTCAGCCAATTGTTCATCTAAATTGATTTTGATGCTCTTTGAAACAAAAGTTTAGACTAGCAAGAACAAAATGTGAAGCTGTCATTGTTAATGTGATTGAACTACTGTTGTTCAGCAGCTTTGCAAATATTTAAATAAAACAAATTTTGTAACAGTTTCAGTAGATTCTTCCAACAGGAAACAAATTAAAACTATGCCAACTGTTGTGCAGTATTTTGTACCAGATTGTGGCATAAAATTTAAACTTTTAGATTTTCAAATCAGTTCCCAGTGAAACTACAGAAATACTAACAAGCCATTTAATGTCAGTTATAAAAACTCATAATTTAGCTGAAAAAATTATTGGATTTTGTGGAGATAATTGCAACACTAATTTTGGGGTGTGTTAAACTTAGAGGAGAAAACAATATTTACAGTACATTGAATAAGGAACTAGGAAGAAATATTATTGGCATTGGTTGTGGTGCTCAAATTGTCTTCAACTGCCTTCAAACTTTAAAAATAACAAAGAATTTTTTAGAAAGTTCACACTAGTAATAAATATTAACAACTTCTTAATAATAAGGTATGTTCAGTTGAGTTATTAAAAACTGTTTTTAACTCATTGTTGTTTTTTGTCAACAACTTCTTTATTTAGTCTTTTCAATCATGGGTACTTATCCTTTATTTTCTGTTGTAAGTATTTTCTCAAAATTGTCCTGGTTTGAAGAAAAAAATATTATGGTAAGTCTATGTATATGGTATGATGTCTTTGCAAAAAAGGACTAAAGGCATTCATTCTCTGCAGATGAGTTACTTCATAGGCAAGTTCTAAATATCTATTAATTTTTTCTATCTGTGTATTTTTTATATTGACTCCCAATATGTGGAACAGCTATATCTATGATGTGTGATTTTGTTGTGTTTGTAAATAAATGTGGTATCTGGTATATTGTAATGTATTGCTTTTTCTGTAATGATAGCTTAATCACAATATATTATGTGTATGGTTTTCTATGACTAACTAGGGTAGAGACTGTATGTGCAAGATTTTTAAGAGTGGAGTTTTAAAGAAAACACATTATATTGAAAAAAATTAGTAAATTACAGTATAAAAAATAAAGTAACACAATACAGCAGACTAAGAAGGAACTGAATGAATACAAAATAAATATGTTACATACAATAAAATATTTTATTTTATTATTAATTTTTCCAAAATGGGGAGTTCAATCCCAAAACCCTTGAATGAATGACCTTGGAAATGTATTTGTAGTGATCTGAGACATGTATTTGTAGTGGCTTCTGGGTGTGTTTTTGTGCAAGTTTTGATGTATTATATTTGCTAATTAGTTATGTTAATGTACATTGTCAGTTTATGCTTAAAAAGTTGCAATCTGATGTAATAAGGTGTATCATTTTATGCATGATGTGGCATTTCCTACAAGTGTCATCTGATTATTGTGCCTTTTACAATGGGGTTTCTGTAGTTTCTTGTATTTATGATCTGGTCTTATATGGCAATCATAAATCTCTCTCTCCAAAGTCATCCCCAAGCCAGATAACAATATGACACTGTTCTGTCAATGTGATCCTGGCTGAGATTATTACAATTCTTATAATGAAGCTCCTTTCTGTCCAAGACTACCTAATGGTGTCTGTGTATTTTGTGTATTTGTTATATTCAGATCATTATTAAGTTTAATGTGTATTACTTTTTCCTGCAAGAGTTACAGCTTTGGTAAATGTGATTTTTCTTGTTTTCTGTAGAAAAACTCTTGTAGTATCAGTATTTGTTTGTAGTAAAGATTTAATATATTTCTGAGGCCCCATTATAAAACATAACCATAATATTTATTCTTTGTGAAAGAACCTATTTTCCTTTATTTGTTTACATCAGTGCACCCATGTGGGTGTTTTTCCATGTTGAGAGGGCAATCAGTTACAATTTATATTTTGGGGGCAAAAAACAATTTTCTGGGCACTATAGTAAAACATTATATTAAGAATAATTAGATATTTTATTTGTTATATTGTACAATAATTAAACAAATAACATTATACTAGTCACTAGTCTATTCAATGCAGTATGAATTTGGAGTTAGCCTTCGCCCTCGACATCGGGATTTTGTAGTGAAGGGGGGCAACGATTCGTTAGAGGTTGAGAAACACTGGTTTACATAATTCAATTATAATACCAATATAACAATTACTCTTAGATATAGTACAAAATAGCTTTGTCTTTCCTTCAAAAGACAGACACACACACACATACACAAACATACACACACATTATTCAGTTCCCAATATTGTATGTTTGTGTGTATTTATGTGTGTGTCTGTTATCTGATGGTAGTAGCTTAAGGGAGCCCAAGTCATAGAAGTTTGGAAACCACTGGCCTAACAAGTTCAGATTCATTCCTTTAGTCAGTATTCAATAATAATAATAAAACAGTTAAAAAAGAATAAAAACTTATTTTAATTCTCAAATAATAAAATTAATTAAAGTTTTATTTTTAATTATTTAATATAAATAATAATCTGAAATCATATTAATATAATAACTTTAATTTATATTATCTACAGATATTTACAAAGTTTATAATTTTTAAGTAATTTAGTATCAATCACACACACTGAACCAATTTATGGTGTGGTATAATCGACTAACCAGTACAAAAACATTTGTTTTTGTACCCGCTGTATAGAGCTAGCGCCTATACAGTGAGTTACCGTGGAACATGGTTATCGCAAAGCTATACCTAAGATGATACAAAGTTATAGTCGGATGTATGCAGATAGCGCATGGCTGGTGGACCGACACATTGATAACCAACCGGAAGACAGAGAACTAATCCCCATCACCTATAACCCATATGTAAAATCTATATATGACAAGATTGCCAGGAAGCGCCAAATACGTATTGCTTACAGGAGATGTCCCACTATTTTTAACATCTTAAGTAATGGGAAGGACCCTCCTAACCCCAGCAGAAGACCAGGAATCTATAGTGTCCCTTTGAGAGATAATAGATTCAATAGTCTCATAAGGAACTCTTTGCCCTGCCCCGCCTATTGGCACTACAGGGTTTAAAGAGACTATGCCTTGTTCATCGACTGGTCGGTACCTGACACGGTAGACAGGGACGTCATAGCTGGGCTCTATGATGCATCATTCGGACTCCCGTCCGCACCCCGGCCCAGCTCACTAACTTGGCATAACTTTTGTATGTGCAGCCTGTACTGCACTTTTGGTCCACATCATTAAACCTTTTGTAGCTCACACATAAATATAGGATACTCAGACTAATACCTACATATAGTAGGTATGCGGACAGCGGGGCCCTTACCCCAGAGGGAGGGCCCAATAAGCCAACTAGTATTATAGATCAAGAAGATCTATGACTTTTCCCATCAATTCCTTTAGTTTCTTTAGGTTCCCTTTACTAGCTGCTAGCGTTCGAAGTACTTGTTCAGGGGGCTTAGACCAGTCAACTTGGTCCGCCCATAGGCGGAAGTCCCTTGTTAGGGGACAGTCAAGTACGTAATGCCTCGAGTCGATAACGAGCAACAACTTATTGGAGTGAGGCCAACTACAGGCACGAAGGTGTAGGTTGACCTGCCTACTGTACTTAGAGTCCAGCTCTCTCGCCAGCTTATCATCGATCTTTGCAGTAGAGTACCTTTTATGTATGTAGTCGAGGGGTCTACCATCCTCGTAACAAATGGGCCACTGGCTCCCGCCTTTGCCAGCTGATCGGCCCGTTCGTTGCCCAGGACACCGGTGTGGCCTCTTACCCACCGCAGGGCAACGTGTCGCTCGTGTCTCGCCCTCAGTACCCTACCTCTGATCTCGTGTACCAATGGGTCACGATGGTACCCGTCGCTTAAAGCCTGTAACGACGACTGGCTATCTAAGTAAACCGTGACCGGCTCAGGACCCGGGTGTAGTAGGATCCACTGGGACGCCCCCTCCAGGGCCACCAATAGATTCAATAGGGATTTAGTATATATAGGCTCTACGAAAAGATCCATAGGCATCAGAATACAGGAACATCAGGCGGATATTCATCATGGGAGAACCAGCACGGCCCTCGCAACATACGTAACAGACCCGGACATAGTTGCTGACTTTACTAGGGCCAATCTCCTTCTCAGGGCGCCTCCCAATGATCATCTCAAATGGTTAGAGGCAATGCACATCTTTAAATCCTCTATCGAAACCACATGCATAAATTTTAAAGAGGAGATGCTTTTGTTGATGGCCTGGCAAGAGTTGATAAACAGCACGCTTTAGCTGCTCGTTATATCCGAGCAGGCTGACTCATCATGCATGCGCGACATATAATTTTTAAAAGAACTGTTTGAACTCAAGAACAAAGTTATTTGAAAGGCATTTGTTAATCAAATTTACGAGCTAAAACTGCAGGAACCTGATGAAGAG